CGGTCCCATGCCCCCGTAAAACCCCTCTCTCGCCTGACTCGATCGTGAATGCGATCTTGTCCTCATCGGCGACGAGTCCATTCTCTCAGGTTCTGGTAGCATGACAGGCATTACCATGGCATCTCGCACCAGGCGGAGGGCTTGTTCTCTTTCATGTACAGCCTTAGCGTCACGGGTAAAAGCGCGGATGAGGAGCCATTCGAGGCCGGAGGATAGCATGTTGGCCCAAGAGCGACGAGTGAGGATGTAGCGCAGTACACGATAGCCGGCCGCACGGCGTTTAGTGGTGGAAGTGTCGCATAAAGAAGGCAGAACGCTACGATTGTGTTAGGACTGCAACTGCCAGGTATAACTAAACTTACTGCTGAATCGTATCTTCCACCTCAACGCTCCGTCTCAACGCTTCAGAGCGTTTCAAAAGGTCTCCCAATTTGATGAGCACCGCACAACTCTCATCCAGCCCTTCTTTTTCCTTCTCCTTTCCCTTGCTCCTCCCTATCTCCCTCAAACGCATTAACAGCATTCTAAAGCTGTCAAGCAGTACAGCAGTGGTCTCATCCTCCACCAACCTCCCCGAGCTTTGACCCCAAGACGACTTATCGCCCCATGATGCGTCCTCTCCTGCGCTACGACTTCGAGGCCTACTCGCACTCGCACTTCCACTCGAGCTAGCCAACGTCGACGAGGTAGGATGGCTCGGGAGACCGCGAGATGGGGTCGTTTGCGTGAAATAACCACCAGGAGAAGAATCTTCGCGATCCCTATTGGGAGTCAGGTTGGAATGTTGTCTGACAGTACGGGGACGCTGCGCTGAAGCAAGAGCCGAGGATGAGTTGGAGGAGGATAGAGGATTCAGGGAGTTTGAGGATGGATATCCATTCAGGCGTGGCTGTTGGCGACGTCGGGCTCGTTGTGGGGTACCTGCAAGCTGATCAGATGCAGTCAACCAGTGCAAGCTCTGCGCACCTCGAAGTTTCTCCAGTTTGGTCTCCAAAGCTTTGATATGGAGGTTGGCAGCTTCCAGCTGCGACGTGATATTCGCTTTGACTTTTGCTTGATCTCCGCTGTCCGAGCCGCCCTTCTTCTCAATGACCTGTATCACTGTCAGACATCGCCCCCGGTACAGTGTAGAGGCTTACATCGAGCATCTTCTCTGCACCATATTGGACCCTCCGCTCGATAGCGAGCTTGTTCTCGATGCTTTCGGCCTACAGCAGGTCAGCCTGGATCAGGTGTCGGGGGTGGGCGTACGGTGTCTGCGTCGTCGAGGTCGTCGCTGCTGGCTATGCCGCTGTCAATGCTGGGCCGTGGGGGCTGGGTGGGATAGGCCATGGTGCCCTGCTGTAAGTATATGCCCCCGCTTTGTCGTCAGCGAGATAAGATCCAGACATCCTGACGGCCGCCGCCACAACAACGGCGCCAAATCACAAGCCGTGACGTGGAAGCCCATGTCAACGTGATTAAAGCAGAGAACCGAAGGCATTCCGGCTCATCGCGCTACAGACATACAATTTCTTCATGACGAGGCTATCACGGCCGATATGACAAATGATCTAAACAAGAAATAGCAGAGATAGGACCCAAAGAGAAGCAACAGCCATATATTAGACACCCAGACTCCTAATGATCCTCCTGTCCCGTTCACCAGAGACCTTCACAGTCTGCTCCTCCTCCAGCTCTTTCACGATCTCTGCAAATTGAGCGTGATCGACAGGCACGTTGCTTTGTTTATCGAGCTCATCGATGACTGCCGCCCAGCGAATACCTGTTGATCGCGCCTTTTCAACGACAATCTTGATAATCTCACGCTTGAGGTCGGCCCGAGCTCGACGCATAGTCTGACCGGCGCCGGTGTTGATGAGATCGAGGTCAATCTGTCCAGTCAGGGGGTCGGTCTATGAGATGTCAGCTCAATGTCTTCCGTCTCCGTACATGAATAAGACTCACAGCACTTTCCCTCAAAGCACTCTTAATCAGCCTTTGCGCCTCGAGCACATCTTCCAGCTCTACCTCCTCACTCAGCCTCATTCGGGCATGCGCTTCACTCAGCCTGATCATGCTCTCCAACTGTCTAGTGGTGGCAGTGATGCGCTTCTCCTGGGTCCGCGAGTCCATACCAGCCTTGCGCATGTCCACGTAGGCTTGCACGAGGGCAGCACCGGCTGCCTCTGTGAGGACAGGTTGGCTCTTGGATCGGGCGTAGGTAATGTATGCCGCAAGAGTATCGAGGGGCTGTTCAATGTCAGCACTGACCGAGACTGTTGTCTATCACACTCACAATGATGTTATCCTGAGATCGCTCTTCCTCATCCGACAGATACAAGCCGACCAAATGCTTGGCCAACTTCCTGTCATTGATCTCGTCGATCTTATCAAGGACCAAGTACAACAAGTCGAACCTGGAAATCAAAGTAGGAGGCAGGTCGATGTTGGCGGGAATAGGAAGTTTAGGGTCGTATCTAGAGTTGATAGGGTTGGCAGCAGCGAGAATAGATGTACGCGCATTGAGGGTGGTGATGATGCCAGCCTTGGCGATGGACACCGTTTGCTGTTCCATGACTTCGTGCAAAACACTTCGCGTTGCGTCACTCATCTTGTCAAACTCATCGATACAGCAGACACCTCCATCGGAGAGAACCAAAGCACCACTAGATCCATTGTCAGTTTTACTCTCTCATTCAGAGATGGCACTTGCCTTTCCAGAACCAGCTGCTTGGAGTCTGGGTCACGTGTGACATAGGCCGTCAAACCAACGGCCGATGAGCCCTTACCGGAAGTGTAGACACCTCGGGGAGCAATCTTGTGCACGTATTGCAAGATCTGAGATTTACTCGTACCGGGATCACCGACCATCAAGATGTTGATATCGCCTCTGTACCTCGGACCACCCCCACCACCACCCTTGGCGATAGACTTGTTCGTACCACCGAAGAGTTGCAGGAGAATGCCCTTCTTGACATCCTCGAGCTCATAGATAGAGGGGGCAAGGGAAGAGGCCAAGATGTTGTAGAGGTCTGGGTGGATAGAAAGCTCGACGAGTTTTTGCTCCATTTCTGCTGAGGCAGACTGAATGGGTGCCCCGAACCCGTCCTGGTCCATAGCCTCGTCAGTATCATTTCGAGCGAGTAGCTCTTCCTCATCATCCTCCCCACCGACGCCGACTCCCGGGGGCCTGCCTTCACCTCCCCGGGTTGTGGGGTCGAAACCCATACGGGCAACGTTGGTGCGCTTGACGTGGACAACATCAAGGTAAGTCTTGTAGAGGGACTTGATGCTTCGCTGTCTGGGGTTGACACGAACAGGGATGGAACGGAAGATACCGGTGATGATTACTCGATCACCAGGCTTGACAAGATCCACCAACTCATCGTATACACAGAGGGACACGGTGTGCGGAGTCTGACCATCGGGAACAGCATCTGGGGTCTCTTGCAGACGGATGACTTGCTTGTCGGTGAACTCGGATCGGTTGTGAATGAGAGACATGGTGCCCTTGGAACCACAAACATCTCGAGGACAGGCATCGGGCTCCTGGATGCGCCCTCGATCGATATCAGCCTGAACAGTGTGCTGACAGATGAGGCAGCGGAAGAACGCGGTAGTCATATCGGGTATGACAGGAGTGGCCCTGATAACCAGACCCTTGATTGTCACCAATTTGTCCGTATCTGATGATCATCAGTACAATTCAGCAAGTGCAAATCTCTGCTCACCTCCCGGGTTCAGATCTCGCATGTTGACAGTCTTTTCTCCACCAAAAGGCCTGACTTTATAGACTCGAGAATCCACATCCTTGAGCTCATCCGTGATGAGACCCAATTGCAATTGGGTCATGGTACCTTCGGCATATTGGGTCTGCGCCCTCTCCAAGTACTCGTGGCCCAGTTCGATCATCACATCCCTCAAGACTTGATCCATAATAGGAATCACTTCCTGAGGGTAATTGATGAGTTGGTGGTAAAGCTTTTTGCTTGGGTTGTAGGCAAGAAGGTTCAGAGCGTCGAGGTTGAGGTTGGTCTCGCCGGTCTCGCGCAGACGCCCCAAATAGGTCTCGTAAAGAGGAGATTCCGCTCGCTCAGCCAACAGATTGTCATAGAGAGTCATAGGAGGAGGGGCCAAGCCTCCCTCTTGTTCAATTCGGCGAGCTTGTTCGGTGTTGAAAACCGCCCGGTATTTGGGCTTGAAGCCGCGTAAGAAGTCTCGGAAGAGGTTCATACTTTCTTGCAGGGAGATGGTCGTGCCCCAGATGAATTTGACCATACCGTCAACATCATCGGCCTCATCATCTGCCTGAGATCCAGCAGCAGCAGAAAGAGTAGGGGCAGCTGATCCGGCTCGGGGCGTGCGAGGACCATCAAAGTTTGGAGACGAACCGCGGACAGAGCTGGCGGGGATGGCAGCAGTGCGTCGAGCGAGAGACGGGGAAGAGTGAGGGAAAGAAGAATGGATATCTCCTCGACGGGCTCGGCGAGGTGTGGAGCCTCCGGATGGCGGGAAGAAGAGAGGGGTCTCATCCCGAATCCTTCTGACGCCAGCAGAGCTGGGAACCTCACTTCTTAGTCGGGACGCAGTAGGCGTCTGACGCCCAGCACCTGATCCAGGTTGGGAACGAGGAGAAGATGTAGGAAAGTGAAGAGGGGATGACGACCGGGCGGCTGCATAGGAGAACATTAGCTGTTGCTCGACGCGCTGAGGGGAAGACACTGACGGGCGTCGCTGCCAGCGACTTGCTGGACGCGGGCGGCCCTGGGAGTACCCGCTACGGAAGAGGACGGGAAGTTGAGGGGAGAGGACGACCGTGGGTTGTTGGGGGAGGACATGGTGGATGGCGAGAGGAAGAGAAGAGAAAAGAGAGATGGGCGATTCAGGAGCAAATTCAGGGAGCCATCCTCGACGCGACGCGACATTCTGCTTCCGTCCCTGGCTCACAAATCCACGTCAGTGTTGGGTGATAAGCACATCAATCTTCAGATTGCGGACATGCATAGTTTACAGCAATACCTCGCATTCGCTGCAAATGCACAACATGGCCTCGGTCGACGAGAGGTCTCGGCGCGGGTTGGCATGTATATACATTTGCAAGACTTGATACTAGTTCAACATATGAGGCCTTTCTATCACAGACCAACTAGAGATCACCGCATTTACCCCTGCCATTCTCTGAACAAGCCATCCAACGACTTGGCGACCAAAGCACCTGGCAAGCTCCTAATGATATCTCCCACCTTCTCCTCCACCGCCTCCTTCTTCGCCCCTGCCTTCTCCGCCATGTCCGTCGTTAGCCTATACATGGCCAAAATGGCCAGACTGACGTGGGTCTGATGGTTGGCAAAAGGCGAGTCGGGGCGAATGAGGGTGGCAAGAGGGCCGAAAGATGGCGAAGACGATGACCCGAGGGTGGCATTACGGTCGCCACGCCCAAGGCGAAGGAGGATCTCAAGAAGATCATCCGGAGAGGACGAGAGGAAGGATGTGAACGCGCGACGAGAGGAAGGGGTGCCTAGAGTGCAGCTGCTAGCCCATCCGTCCATTATACCTGGCAGCGTAGGCGCCTGGATATGCGTCAGTGTTCTTATCCTTGCAGATGTTCATTCCCACTTACAGGATCCGGGTCCATGACCTCCAATTTGCCCCGCCACCCTGCATCAACGCCCTTTCTGCTCTCAAACTGCTCGAACAACCAAGCGTCCGCCTGATTTGACTTTAACCACTTTGGCTCGCTCAGCGCATTTTTGGTATTGAGGTGTACGGTCACAACGACAGGAGAGTTGATGTTTGCGAGGGTGGACGATATGAGGTGAAGGGGTGGAACGGAGGGGTCATCAGAAGGCGAGGTGTATGGAAGGAAGCGTTGCTCTGAGGGACTGTACAATTCCATCTACATCATCGTCAGCGGTATCTCTTGTTGAGTATGGCAGAACTCACCATGATCCCTTTCGGCAGTCCCTTCCATTCGCCCGCACTTTCTTTTACACCCTCCTTGTTATCCTCTTTAAGGTTATTCCTGTTTTCCACCATTTCATGTTCTGTCTCTTCTTCCGTCTTTCCTTCTGTCTCTTTTTCCCTCTTTTCTTCCGTCGTCTCTTGTGCCTTCTCTTCCATTTCACCCTCCTTCAACTCCACCTCAATCTTTCCCTCCTGCCTCCATATCCTTACCTTCTCTACCACCTCCGCATCAAAACATAACCTCCTCGTCGATTGTTCCCACACGACCGACAATCTATTCCAGCTCACCCCTGGGCTCGCTGCGTTGGCGGATTTAGGATGTCTCTCGGCAGGAGCGTGTGAGGATGTGGAGACAGAAGAGTGTCGACGGGCACGGGATTTATAGGCTGACGCGGCATTGGTGGCAGACTCGGCCAAGGCGGCTGCGGCGACGGCTGCTTCAGATACGTCTTTGGCGTCTTTGGCTGCTTGATCCTCTTCATCAATACCGTGCTTTTTGTCATCGGCGGACTGCTCCACCTCCTCGTTTGTCTTGCTCTTGCCCTCGTTCTGGGATTCGATAGACTCGGCAGCATCAGCAGCAGATTTCTCGACAGGTTCTGGTGGCATTGAGTCTCCATTCACCCCAGACGTGCCAGGCAAAGATTTTTTGACCATCTCCGCCTGCAATGGGTCTACAGCTGTGGAATCTGCAAGACCATCGCCCTTCTCCGTCCGCATGGACACATCACCATCACCCACTTCCTCCTTGGCCTCGACCTCTGCATGAGTTTCCTCCGCAAGAGGCGCAGGATACTCGAAATGTTCTGGCAGCAGCTCTGCTGTAGGCTGCTCCTCTGATGCCTGGGTATCTGCCGTGTTGTGGATATCGGAAGTGGCGACGGCTGCAGAGCCATTTGCAGTATCATTGACACTGGAAGCGGCAAGGACGTCCTCGCCCAATCCCAAGCTATGATCGACGTCTTCTTGTGCTTGATCGTCACCCTGCTCGGTCTCATTTTGCTCCTGAGCTGGCACTGCAGCCTCCACACTGCGCTCCTCCTCACCCTGTGCCTCATCTCCTTCCTTCTCCTCGACCACTGAGGCAGAAACACTGACGCTCCTGAATCGCTTGTTACCCCTCCCTTCCTGACCCTCCTTGGCCTTGACAGGCGTCTTCTTGACCTTGGGCGCTCGGTCGAGTTCGGGGGGTGAGTCAAAGTAGATCCTGAGTCTGTTGGAGTTGTTTTCGTATTTGGCAAGGAGATCTTTCGCGATATCGTTTGTGGTCTTTATGGGAGATTCACTTGTAGATTGCGAAACCTGCTGAGGAGTGGTGGCAGCCGATGTAGAGGGAGGAAGGGCAAGATCTGCGGTGACAGGAGTCATCGGTTTGAAGGGGATTGAGCGCTTAGCTGAGTGGTGTTCGTCTCCATCTTCTATAGATAATGTCAGCCATCATATATACAGCGTTACTTGGTCCGATAATAGACAATGAAAGACATGAAAGCAATTCAAAAATCAACACACCAGTATCAGGACTCTTTGCTTTGCGTTTTTCGCCACGTTTTTCCTTCTCGCTCTCTTCCGCAACGGCCGCTGCAATGGCGGCCTCGCTTTCGACCTTGGAGGCCAGAGAGGTTTCTGTCTGAGGTTCCAATGAAGGCTCAGATTTGATGGGAGCAGATTCTGAGGATTCAACAGCAGGAATAAGAGCAGAGGCGCTTTCAGTAGGTTTGGCAGGCTCGGCTTCTGTGAGCTCGACCTTGGCCTCAGCCTCGCCATTCGTGTTTACAACAGGCTCTTGCCCTTCCACTTTGACCTCGCTCTCGGCCTCGGCCTTCTGCCCGTCGACGATTCCCCAAGCCCATCCCAGCTCTTTCATCTCGATACCCACAATCCTCCAATCAGTCATCGTCGCCTTAACCATATCCTTCCCCTGTACAGCCCCACCAAGCTTCTTGTTACCCCGTTTGTCAAACAAATTCTTCCCAGCACCCGGGGCGACACCCTTAGAGAAAGCTGAAGGCGCGAAAGAACCGTCGGGGCGACGCATCGTTGCTGGACCCCGAGGTGCATTCATCATACCACCTCTGCCTCTTCGACTGTCGTTGCCTCGCATCGGCCCAGCCTTCGGCTGACCAGGACCAGAGGGAGGTGCAAACACTCCACTTGGACCACCAGGGCCCGAAGCAAGTGGAGGACCGGCGCCGAGATGGATAGGCGGCCGGTTGATGGGGAGGTTGGGACGACTTACATTGCGTTGGCCTGTCGGGGGACCCTGTGGTCCGTTGTTGGGCGGCCGGCCTTGGGTCATCTTGTTTCCTCCCCCGCCTGGTCCATCAAACCTCGGCCTCTTTGCAGGCGGGAATCCTCCGCCTCCTCCTCCACCAGGCTGGTTGCTCATGGGCGGGCGAGGCGGTCTGCCTTGGTTGCCTAGCAGTGCAGGGGGGCGAAATTGCGTGGGCTGCGATTGCATGGGTGACGACATATTGGGGCCGCCCATTGGCGGGCGATAAGGCGACTGTACAGAGGGCTGGGGAGGCGTATAAGGGGTAGGTTGAGGCTGAACCGGAGGGTAGTAAGGTCCTGCCGGCTGGGCCGCATAGCTGGGGTAAGGTTGCTGAGGCTGGGCAGGGGGACGGTAGGCAGGCTGTCCAGGCTGTATCTGAGGTTGCTGTCCAGCCTGCCAAGCATACGGCTGCTGAGCTGGCGGAGCAGGTTGTTGGTAGGGCGGTCGACCGGGCTGGTACCCTGCCTGAGAATACTGTGGCTGAGCAGGATATGTCTGTTGCTGTGGGTACGCCAGAGAAGGCTGAGTAGAGGCAGTGGCGAACGCCTGGTTGCTTGCCGGTGGTCTATACGATTGCAGGGAAGGACCAGCGGCAGGTGGCTGCGGTTTGTTATGCTGAGCGCCTGCACCATATCCATAGTTTGCGTAGGGATTCTGAGCGGCGGGGGCACCAGCTAAAGGAGCCTGCGCGGGGGTTGTTGGTGCGCTATGCCCCTGAGGAGCAGTCATGCCCTGGGACTGACACAAGTCAGCGCAAATCCAGCCTTTTCTTGACGGGCATACCTGGTAGTAGGCTGCCCACGCAGCGGCATGAGCGGCCGCCTGCTCTGGTGTCTGTCCGTACGCATTCTGTCCCGGAAGAGGGGGCTGCGCGCCCTGCTGGTAGTTTGCACTTGGGTTCCGGTTGCTCATGGGGGCATAGGGAATCTCGAAGCAGACGAAATGAAAGAGAAGAGTGCACCTCAAATTACAGCTTACCGTAATCGTAATTAAGGTGTCAGCTATACGCATCCTTGTTCTCTTGCATGATTTTTGTCGTCATCGCCCACTCCGCCTGCCACGATGCCCCCCAAACCCGCCAGCGCGCTGCCCCTCCCGTACTCAAACCCGCCCCAGCCAAAGCGCGAGCAGAGGCAGCCCATGAGGTGAGCAAGTTATTCTGCTTCAGGGGCCCGCTGACAGTGTCCCATAGAACTTCCAAGCTCGGAAGCAGTACGTCCCCCGTCTCCCCCACAGAGCGCTCCTGACATGTCCCAGAACTCAAGGTACTCCCAACGCAGCCCGAGAACTCCACCATCCCAGAGGAAGATGAAGATGAAGAAGACGCTCAACGCGCTTTGGGCGACAAGGACGAGGGCGAGGGCGTGGAGGTGCGTATCTCGTCCTGTGTGCAAAGACTATGACTAACATATGGGCAACAGTTCTATACACCCCTCTCCCAGATCCCCAAGGGTACCGCTCGACGAGATGCTCAGAGGCTCACCAAGAGCGAGAAGGCAAAGCTCCCGCGAGTGACCGCCTATTGCACCGCAGCGTACGTCCTCATAGCTATCAAGCGAGATCTGCTGACGAGATGATCAGCACGTACAACCTCCCAGCTATGCAGGCCTATCTGTCTTCCCGCCCCGCATACCATCGCTGCCACCCTAGAATGTTTGACACTGAATGTCTCCACACGCCGTACCTCCCGCCCCCAACGCCTTCCCCGTACGCCCCAGCCCACCGAAACTCGCCCCGTCTCAAACCTGCCCACGGCGCAGGACATATCCCTGAGGGCGACTTGCTCAATCTGGGTGATGAACACGCGTCTAAGCGCTCGTCGAGTCCTAGTAGAAGCAATTCGACGTCCTCAGAGCTCAAGCGTCGACCTGGCTTCTCAAAGAGACCTGGAGGCGGCAGGACCAAGTCGGATAATACTTCTGGCGTCTCTAATGGCGGGGACGTGGAAGACAGTGAGAGAGAAGAAGACGACGACTTTGAGGACGAGTGGATACCTGATGTATTCCTGTTTGAATATGGCTGCGTCGTCATCTGGGGTATGACGGAAAAGGAAGAAAAGAGATTTTTGGCGAGCATGTAGGTTACTTATTCTACAAGTGTACGAAAGGCTGACGAAATTATAGTAAGAGGTTTGAGATTGAGAGATTATCAACGGAGGATGTGGAAATGGAGGATCTGAATTTTTACTATGCCGACTATTCTCGGTGAGTTGTCCTCCTAGACTTGGAATTTGTCGCTAATCCTGTCCCTAGAATTTATAACGATGTCATTACATTGCGAAAAGGCTCTTCCTACATGTAGGCAACTTGACTTTGGACTGGACCGGCCAACTGACCCTATGCTCAGGACTAAACTCTCCCTCTCCCATGCCCTCTCTCAGTCTGTCAAGATTTCGCTCTTCGAAGAGCTCATCAGCGCCACTATCGAACAGAACCAGGATATTCCCAAGGTCCTTTCTGAGACTGGCAAAATTGGCGTATGTTTTCATTCTTTCTTGCGGTTTCTATACTCATGCACTGCAGATGCCGAGGAGCGAAATCATGAAACAGATCGGCTACCTCTTTATCCTCCGTATCAACATCAACCTCGTCGGCTCCATCCTCGATTCTCCCGAGTTCTTCTGGACTTTCCCCGACTTGGAACCGCTGTATAATGCTGCCCGCTCATACCTCGAAATTGGGCAGCGTGTCGATCTGTTGAACGCCCGTGTCGATGTGCTGCAGGATATGCTGAAGCTGTTGAAGGAGAGTGTCAACTCTAGCCACGGCGAGCATCTGGAAGCTATTGTCATCTTCCTTATGTAAGTCCTCGGGCTGGAGATAAAAACGAATGCTGACAGGGGCACAGTGGTATCGAGATCGTGTTGGGTATCATCACAATTCTTGTCGACCTCAGCTCTTCGTAATATTCGTGATCTGTAGCCATCTATTTCCTTGTTGTAACCCGAAACCCTCAGCGGCCGCCTCCGAATCATCCCCTTATTCAAAGCACTAGCTTTGCCTACAAAGATTGTGTCTATAGATTTTCACCTGCAGTATACCTCAAACATCTTACATTACCTACTATGCAAGAGTCGGACCGACTTGAGTGGCGATCATGATATTGGATCGAGCTCATCGAGGGCTCGCACACCTCTTTGTTAACGAGGCTGCACGATTTCGGCATATAGGAAGCCATGGCCACTACTACATTCTTCATTGAACAGCATCCTATCGAGGTGTCCAGTGACTCGCGCATCTTTCGGTTGCAGAGAGCGTCACCACGACCGAAAAGTCCTCTCGATGCCCGGTTGGTCGCACTCTCAGGTACTTGATCTTATCTTATCACACCCGTCTTCTCTGTGACGTTACGAAAGCAATCCTGTGTTCAAGATAGTAGAACCGAGGCTGAGCCGCCATACCACCACCAAATAGTCGCCGCCAAAGATGCCGCGATTCCGCCCTCGCATTTGTAAGGCCGACCACAAACCTGATTAGCCTCGGTAGCTGGAGTGTAGTCAGGATTGTATTGTAATGGCCCTACAGTACGAGTACTCCGTCGTGTGGTATGTATCTGGCGGCTTCCACAATCTGGAGCCCGGCCCTCGCCGATTTGAACGCAGCCGCACGGCCGTCCCGCCGAGGTGCCGATAAGAACCCGCGAGAACACTTCTTTCTTTCTATTCTCAATCCATCTCCTGCAAACCACCAGCAATGTCCACCGAAGGAAAGACTATCACTTGCAAAGCTGCCGTCGCCTGGGAAGCCGCCAAGCCCCTCTCCATCGAGGACATCGAGGTTGCTCCCCCTCAGGACGATGAGGTCAGAATCAAGATCCTCTAGTATGTCGTGTTTGTTGCGAAGGATATTCCAAGCTAACAGTTTTGGTAGCACCGGTCTCTGCCACACGTGAGTGTAGAATGCTGCTTTGTGTTCAAGTGAGAGATATTAACATTGGACAGCGACGCATACACCCTGTCTGGTGTTGACCCTGAGGGTGCTTTTCCCGTCGTGCTCGGACACGAGGGTGGTGGTATCGTAGAGTCAGTCGGTAAGGGTGTAGACAACGTCAAGGTCGGCGACCATGTGGTCCCCCTCTACACTGCTGGTGAGTTAAATTTCATTAGAGCGAGGCGAAGGGGTGACGGTGACAGGCGGGTGGTAGATTGAGGGGAAGTGGTATGTTTGAAGGAGCTCTAAGTGTGCGGTCAGAGACTGGATGCGCCATCATCCGCGATCGTGCAACGCAGCGAGGCGGGCGGACGATTGGCGGAGCTGACTGATTCACCAGAATGCCGAGAATGCAAGTTCTGCAAGTCGGGCAAGACCAACCTTTGTGGCCGGGTTCGAGCTACCCAGGGTAAGGGTGTCATGCCCGACGGCACCAGCCGATTCAAGTGCAAGGGCAAGGAGCTTTTGCACTTTGTACGTCCACCCTTCTCTCTGGTTGACGTCTCCTGACACTTTGATATAGATGGGCTGCTCCACCTTCTCCCAGTACACCGTCGTCTCTAAGTTCTCTGTCGTCTCCATCAACGAGAAGGCTCCCCTCAAGACTTCTTGTCTCCTCGGATGCGGTATCACCACCGGTTACGGTGCTGCGACCAAGTCTGATGGCATCGAGGGTGCCGACAATGTCGCGGTCTTCGGCATCGGCTGTGTCGGTCTCAGTATCATCCAAGGCGCCAGGGCGAAGAATGCCAAGAGGATCTTTGCCATCGACACCAACCCCAAGAAGGAAGAGTGGGCCAAGAAGTTTGGTGCCAGTACGTTTCTCGCCTTCCCCAAGCCCCACTCACTGACCCCTCCTTAGCCGACTTTGTCAACCCCAAAGAGCTTCCTGAAGGCAAGTCCCTGGCCGAGTACCTCGTTGAGATCACCGACGGCGGCTTTGACTACACTTTCGACGCTACCGGTAACGTGGGCGTCATGCGTGCTGCCCTCGAATCATGCCACAAGGGTTGGGGTGTCTGCAACGTCATTGGTGTCGCACCTGCCGGTGCCGAGATTGCCACCAGGCCTTTCCAGCTTGTGACTGGTAGGACATGGAAGGGATCTGCGTTCGGTGGTGTGAAGGGTAGGACCGAGTTGCCCGGTATCGTGGACGGTAAGTCTATCATCCAATGGGCGGGCTCGTGCTGATGAAACTCAGACTACCTTGAGGGCAAGCTCTGGGTCAACGAGTTTGTTACCCACGAGCAATCTTTGGACGGCATCAACAAGGGCTTTGAAGACATGCATGTGAGTACAATGTCAACTGAAAGTCTTGTAATTGCTGACAACTCGAACAGAAGGGTGACTGTATCCGATGTGTTGTCGACATGGGCTTCAACGACGCTCCTTAATCTTCTCATCTTATCATTTCACACGGGGTTTGGGGTTTGTTGCATAGAAGAAGTACTTAATAAAACATGCTGAGATGTATGCCAGTCATGATACACCTTTTGCACTGCTCTGTTGCAATTGGGATCACAGAATAACACTTCATCGTCTGTTTGCACAATTGATCTACAAATCTTACAACCACAAAGATAAAAAATCGAGGTATGAACGTAGATTACAATTATATCCAAGCACTCTTTTCGTACCATCTTCTCTGCCTATCTACATTGTCCTTGAGACCCTTCGCCGCATCCGACATACAAGATTAGCCCCAGAGACCTCTCTGGCGCCGGTGCCCCGCCCCCGGAGCTTCTCCCGCATCATACGCCATCGGCCCCAGGCCAAACCCTTGGGCATCCAGCAGCTCGTGCTCATCCTCGTCGTCTTGTGGCACCGCCGTATGGCCCTGCCCTCTTCTCCCCCTTGCGAATCGCATCCATCCTGTTCGTACTTGGCCATCCTCCGGCGGAGCATTCGGCTCGTCACGCGTGTCGATGCGACTGCCGTGCAAGCCAAAGAAGCCGTCGCGGATATGCCTCGCACCGCTGAAAGCTTGAGTAAAGGGTGCGGTGTAGTAGGCGAGCTCGTTGGGGGAGGGTTCGCGGGGTGAGGTGGAAGTGGTTACAGTCTCCAAATTATTCTCTCCCTCAACCCCTTCACCTCGGCCAGCAGCAGCCTCCGCCTGAGCCTCCTCGCTTTCCCTCTGTGCTCTCCGAAGTCCCCGCTCAAATCTCTTGACTCGCCACCAGCCACCAACCGAGGTCAAAACGATAAACCAACCGACACTCATGAGCAAAAAGCTAAAGTACTCGTTGGCTTTACCGACGTCGGCGGCCGAAGGAAGGTCGAGCATTTGAGTGAGGGTACGGTTGTGGGCCATAGCCCATTGTTCCGCCTCATGGGTGTTGTGGACGATGGTACCGGGCGATCCCTCGGGCGCATTTGGCTCTCGGAACACGGCCGGCCAGGGAGAAGCGCCAGGACCCCAGATAGCCTCGATGGCATTTTCTGCAATTTCCTCGTCTGACAAGGTCTGCCCCCCGCTGGGCGGATCTGAAGGGTCGTCCGAAGCAGTCGCCGGGAAACGGTTCTGGTCGATAAGCTCGACAGCCTTGGCACGGATATTGAGCCCGACTTGAATCAAGGTAAGACCGAGACCCGCTCGAGAGCCGTATTTAGCAGCGTGTGTGGTATGAAGAACGTATGTGAGGAGGAAACCGACGAATTGAAACGATACAGAGACGACCACTATAATTGTCGTCAGTTTTGATAAAAGACATTGCAGAGTGACTTGCAATTCCAGGCAAACCCAAGGAAGCTGCCACTGCCCATTCCATCAATTAAAACTTCGTCACCGCTGACAGAACTAGAAAGAGGGCCGAAAGGCGAGTTGGAGGAGGGAAGGACGACAGTGGTGTCCCAGTACGGAGGTACCGCATCGCGAAGAGCATTCTGGTACGACTATGTGTACGGTCAGAATGGTCCCCACAGTCTTTGAGCAACTTACAGGAGGCGCATCTTTCGACTCGTCCTCGGGAATGTAATCCAAGTCTCCTTCGGCGGCTCGCTCCCTATCTGGCCTTGCCGCCAGATTATCAAACACTCCGCTCATCCCTCCGCCAACAGTCCTTTGCGACGACCCGGCCTCTTGTTGACGTGGCAAGAATGAAGTGGGGAGGATACCACCCAAAAAGTGTCGAGCAGGACTAGGACGAGCAGGCGCTGTCGTTGGAATGATGCCATGAGAGTTGCCCGGTGCTGGATGATGAGAAGAATATGGTTGGAAAGGAGGCGGCGATTCAGGTGGTAATGTCTATGTGCCATGCAAGTCAGCATGTGCTGAGACCGCGGAGCCAAGTGTACGAGGATATGTGCATGCATCAAGAGAACTCCGACTCACATAGTCCCGCTCAAAATCATAATCACCGGGCACTCCCCCTCTATGTTGCGAACTACTTAATAGACCGTGGGTCTCACCTTCGTCCTCGCCGTCGTCGGCAGTAGGAGCGTCAAAGGCAGCATCCATTTCTCCGGGGTCGGGCATGGCGATTGATGGTTGGCGACGTGGGTTGAAACGCCGACTGGCAATCGAATGCAAGGAAGAGCGGCGAGAGCGTGTCGTATTTGTTGGTGAGTCGGGTCCGACGTCGACGTCGTATCGAGACATCTTGATTCCTAGCTGTTGACTCGAGTCAGCTTTCGGCCCCGATGCTTGTTATACAAAAGTAAAGGGTAAAAAGCGCAGTATCAGAGGGTGGTGCATGTGCAGAGAAACGCACAGAGTAATGACCGGCCCGCTGCACCACACCGAAAACGATTACCCGAAGGTTCTCCATCCGGTGTGGGAGTGGCCAAGCCAGTAGCGTCTGCTTTTCTAATCATTTAAAGCGCAGAAGAAATGGGGGACAAAAAAGAGATAGAGCCAAGAAGATGAAAAGAAGACTCACTGTATACTTGCGGGACTGTAGACCCTGTCGGGCGAGGTGCCCTGTGTTGACGATGCTAGCAGCTGTAAGGGCTTTAAAAAGAGCACGAGAAGATAGAGAGGCAAAAGCAAGATGGAGATGCGAATTGGGGAACAAAGAGAAGGCTTGCCAAGCGGTCAAACTGCCACGTGGCTATTCCCGCGTATCCCCGGGCGTGGCGAAGGGAACCACACAATCGCAAGTAGTGCATACAGAGCGCTCGGTCATGTGAGTTGTGAGTGCGCTATGCACGGCAGAGTGTGCCGGGATAGAGCACAGACCCCTGAACAACGGCCAGGTCTCTCGGTCACGGCCTCGGCCTCTCTCAGAGACCGTCGGGGGCACCAGGCCGGGACCGAAAATCAGGAGAGACGGTTGCGATGCGGGTAGCACTCGTCATATAAGAGCGATGGAGGATGATAAGTCTCTCGCATGAATCTCCAAGCCAGACCAACCATGCCTCATTTTTTGCTCAGCTCTTCTACCGAGTACACGCCTGTCCCCGATGGCACCGCTCAGAGTCAGCCCTTCAAACCGCCTCGAGCATCCACGCTGACACATGCACAGCCATGTTCGATATCTTTCGACCCGCTGGCGAGATCAAGACGGAGCTTGCCCGCTACAGGCTTCTCTCCCCCTCTGCTGCCAGTATGTCGTGATGAAGCGGTCCCCGCGCGCGCACAAGCTGACAGCAAACAGTCAGAGTCTCGCCCCTCTGCCTCGGGGCCATGAGCCTTGGTGACCAATGGACTGGCTTTATGGGTGCCAGGACGGACTTTGACCAGGCGACCAAGCTTCTCGATACTTTCTACGAGGCTGGCGGTAACTTTATCGACACTGCTAACAATTACCAGAGTAGGATTATGCAGCCGTTCAATTTGTCTTGACGCTGACGCCATCGGCAGACGAGCAGTCCGAGATGATTATTGGCGAGTGGATGGAGAAGAGGGGCATCAGGGATGAGATCGTCCTTGCCACGTAAGTCAACTGGAATGTATAACACAAGTGCTAAATCTAGACAGAAAGTACTCTACTCTCGGCCTCGACAGGAACGAGGGCAAGTTTGAAGGTATCGCTGCCAATTACTGCGGCAACCACAAGAAGAATCTTCGTTTGACTGTTAGTGACAGGCCTTTGTTTGGCATCTGCCGACTGACGCACACAGGTCGAGTCTTCTCTCAAGAAGCTTCGAACCGACTATATTGACTTGCTTTACGTCCACTGGTGGGACTACAGTACCTCTATCCCCGAGTTGATGCAATCTCTCAACGACGTCGTCAAGAGCGGCAAGGTCCTCTACCTCGGAATTTCTGACACTCCAGGCAAGTGATCACCCTTTCGGGTCCGCGTATTGGCTGACATAGTTGCAGCTTGGATCGTCTCTCAGGCCAACGAGTACGCCCGCCAGCATGGATTCGTTCAATTTGTTGTCTACCAGGGTCTTTGGAACGTCGGTACCCGAGATCTGGAGCGAGACATCATTCCCATGTGCCGTGCCAACGGTATGGGTCTGGGTTAGTATCGTCTTGAAAATACATCTCCCGGTGTTGCTGACTGCCCATAGCGCCTTGGGGCACTCTTGGACAGGGCAAGTTCAAGTCTCCAGAAGAACTCCAGAAGCAGTCCAGCTGGCGAGGTGGCGCACCTCCCTCTGACAAAGACATCAAGGTGTCCAAAGCTCTACAAGAGGTCGCAGACGAGGTCGGAGGTGGCATTAGACCAGCGAATGGTGAGCAGAAAATGTCAAAAGGGTCCAGGATGAGAGCTAAAAGAACTACCCAGTCGCGTTGGCTTGGGCTAGGCAGAGCTTTGCTGACTGTTTCCCCGTCATTGGGGGCACCAACCCAGAGCATCTCAAGTCCAACATTGAGGCAAGTCTATCTCTGTAGAGGCCGCATGCTTGCTTACTTTGCATCCAGGCTCTCAAGATCCATCTGACCACCGAGCAGATTGGCAAACTCGCTCAGGCTTCTGATTTCGACCCCGGCTTCCCTTACATTTACTTTGGTACTGATCCCCACTACTTGCCTGAAGGCAAGCCCAACAGTTTCCTCCTCAACCATGTGCGTTATCGGTGTATTGAAACTAAAGAGCCAGTATTGAACTGATCATGTGCATAGGCTGCCCATTTGGAGTTCACTCGGCTTCCCTAGGCGAATTGTGTCGACCAGTGCAGAGAGATCGATGAGTGTACTTTATATACTTGCGCAGATAGAATGGACACAAAGTGTGAACTGTTTCAGGATTCTTCGCGTAGCCGTCAACGTCAAGACTATCCGTCATGGTGCAGGAAGCGTTGCGAGATGGGACCACACCAGCGTCAGACAGCCTGAAGTATGGGTTTATAAAAGCCATTGGAAGGTGTCAATGAATGACGACATCAAGGTCGATACATGCTTCTAACCATCACCTCTTCAGGCACCACTTTAGAGTGCAGATTTAAACTTCAACTCTCCCTTGACCGCCTTGCTCATGCTCTCGGCAAAGTACTGGATGTTGTGGTCGTTCAATCCGGCCATAGAGATACGACCGTCCTTGGTCAAGTAGACATGAGCATAGTCAGCCAAGTCGGTCACTTGCTCCGGTGTGAGACCGGTAAAGGAGAACATGCCTGGGGGCCGTATCAGCATGGAGAGCTTCATACGCAGAGCGACGTACCGATCTGAGACTTGATATGAGTCCAGCTTCCGGGGGTCTCAAGCTTGACAAGGAGGTCGTAAAGCTTTTCTCGCATGGAGATGATCCTGTCGGCCATCTTCTTGACCTCGGTCAACCACTCCTCGTACAGCTCGGGGGTACCAAGGATTGTAGACACCAGCTGGGCACCGTGGACGGGGGGTGACGAGTAGAGAGGTCGGATGACACGCTTGATCTGAGAAAGGACGCGCTCCTTTTCGTTGGCATCAGACACGATCAAGGAGAAAGTACCAGCTCGCTCGGCATAGAGACCCAAGTTCTTGGCGAAAGACTGGCAGAGAAGGATCTGGTGGCCCTGCTCGACAAAGTATCGAACGGCAAAGGCGTCTCGGATAATGTCACCAGAGGCAAATCCTTGGTAGGCCTATAGCACGAATCAGTAAGGAGTATGTCGGATACCGCTGGACCTACCATGTCGAAGAGCGCAAGGTGCTTTTTGGACTTGACAATCTCGCTCAGTTCCTTCCACTGCTCCTGCGTAGGGTCGATACCAGTGGGGTTCTGAGCACAAGCGTGCAAGAGAATGATGGCGCCCTCAGGAGCGTTCTACAGGGTATTAGCCAATCGCCCCCAAAACACTACCACATCCACGCGCCTTGATGTCCTCCTTCATACCCTCAAAATCCAACCCCACAGTCTTCTTGTCAAAGTATCTGTATTTTTCTACCTTGAGGCCGACAGACTCGGCAAGAGGGATGTGGTTACCCCAAGTGGGGTTGGGGAGGTAAATGACCTTGGGACCCGAGTAGTAGCTCGAGAGGAAGCCGGTGGCAATTCGGAGGGCACCAGTACCAGAGATGGACTGGGTGACGGCGAGCTATGGAAGACGGATTAGAGCCTGCGGGTTTGAGACTTGTGCAACGTACGCGGCCCTCTTTAAGAGGCTTAGAGTCCTTGCCATAGGCAAGCTCAGAGGCAAGCTTGGTGAATTCGGCAGCGCCCTAGGAACATGAGCAATGTCTCCATGACAAGTTTATACACTCACAGTGATAGGAAGGTACTCCTTGTCCAGTCTCTTCTTGTGCAAGATGTCCTCGGCTTTCAATACAGACTCGAGAATGTAAGGCTTGCCGTCCTCGTCACGCTATACAACATGAGCATGGGAGTTTCTAGCGAACATGCAGAAACTCACGTAGGCACCTGTGGGTCATAGGATAAGGGAGGTGGATAATGACACGAATAGAAGAGTTGATAAGGCCCACAAAGGTGAGACAAGTTGGGGCAATACCGGAGCAGGAGAAATGTGATTTCGTGAATGGAGTAGAATGGTGCATTGCGAAGGACGCCCAGTCAGCTCCACACTTTTACAGTGGCACACTAGTACGCACCGACACCAAGATTGACCTTCTGAGGAGAAGTGTCCTTCTTGAAAGCGTCGCTGACACCTGGATACCACACATCAGCTGACCGTTGCCTTCCGGACCGGAGTAATTCGGAGTGTTCAGAGTGGGCGATCAAGCCGTAGACATACCCAGAATGGGGTCGGGGGGACTACATGCATGTCAGCTTTGGCTGTCCCGGCTCTGCTCATTGGGAACGTACCCCTGAGGAACGCCAGCCCAGAAGTTGGTAAAGCCTGTGGTGAGTGGTCAGCGCAGCTCCTCGCTCTGCAAGCGCCTAGTAGCCCTGCGCAGAGGGCAGCGTGGGGAGACGCATAGGGCGGTACTGGACTCACTCATCGTGTGAATACGCAGTAGGATGTGAATGAAGTGATGGAGATAGAAATGGACGAAAGACGAGTCAGCGGCTGAGCGTCCGACTCGCTTGTCGATAAAAGCCGGCGGAACCAAAGTTGCCGGATTACCCGCGCTCGACAAAAGTGGTGAGTCACCGGGAGTATCAGCAGCTGCAGTGACTGAGGGGACCGATGGGGCGAATGCACGCCTGCACAAACAACATCCTCTCTCCCACCGAGCCATGGCCCGCCCAGCCAAGCCACAATTCTTCCTCGCCCACGCCCCCTCCGCCACCCCCTCCCCCACCACACGCCACCACCCCCACCATGCCCACACCAGCAACCACCCACGACTAGGATCAGGTGTCATGCTCGGTGACCACAGCAGGGCAGGGGAGTCTACAGAGTCTCTCAAGCGTTTTCGCACCTTGTCTTCAGACTTTGACTTCCAGGGGACGCACGGTCCAGCACCTCGTCTCAGGTTTGATGCGTCCCCAGCAGAGTCCGTCTTGGTATCTCAGGCAGAATGCCTGGACGCTGTCATGGAGATCCACAAGATTCTATATCTGGGCCAAGATGGGACGGAAGATCGAGCCTGGGACGACAAGGTTCAACAACTACGGAATCTGTTGAGCGAGTGCTTTGAAGGAGACTGTGGTACGTTGCTTCTATCTCATGTCTGCCGATAATACTGATGACGCTAGTCTATGACACTCCTCTATCACGAGTGTCTTCGCGATCGTCCCTCTTGTCACACTTTGCGCTGCTCCATCTATGCTCGACCCTCTATCTCCCGTCCCTCACACCGACGTCTCTTGTTCTGCATGCTCGCAACGCCATTTCGGCCTTGATGAAGCGAGCAGCCGGTATAGAAAGAGTCGACAAGAATGCAAAGCCAAGCGACTTGGCCAAGAGCGACTTTGGTTTGGAGGAGGTCTGGTTGGGACTACCCGAGCCCGAATGTCCAACAGAGGCCGAGGGTTGGTGGCGACTCTGGGAAGTGAGCGCAGATTGCCGGGAGATAGGCGAGATGGAATGCTATGGTACGCAACGACTGCTAGTCGATGACATTGCTCACGACTCCCAGATGGCTACCACCTAGCTATGGTGGATCAAATCATATCTCTTCAATTCTTACCTTCCCTTGTCCGCCGAATGCCAGGATCCTACACATCGACACCCCTTCTTGAAACCCCTTCTCCCATCGCAACTCCCAACTCGCTACCATCACTGCCAAGCCCGAGTTTCACGAGCAGGTTGGCGACGGCGGTACTGAATGAACTTGAAGTGGTTCTACATTGGGAGTTGCCAGTGACTACTTTTGTTGAACTGAACGAAGTCGGTGAGTATTAATAGCCTATCACTGAACCTCTGGCTAATGTGCCCTGTAGGCAAAGCCACATATATCCGCGACAAAGTCGACTTGAGAGATGCCGTCGAAGCTGTCGTCCCATTTGCCAATCGTCTCGGCTGGCTCACCAGATGCGTCTCTGGCATGATGAGTAGCTTTGTCGGCGACATCATCCTTGGGTCAGCGGGCCCTGCTTCATTGGCCGGCGATAGAGCTGAAGTGGCCGTAGGGATGGGATACAAGACGAAAGAAGGGGGAGTTGGATGCGTGGCAGCTTTGAATGAAGAGGCGGCACGTGAAGGGACGGATAACACTTTGGGACTGGAGAATGTTGGATCAGCCCCAGCTATCGCTCATGCGCCAGATGTGGACCCCGAAGCTGCCCCCTTCTCATGATATTGTATGTATGTTGCGCAGTCATTGGAATGTTGCGCCCCTTTTCATCGATTCGTTGTATCATTTGTAGCTTATTATGTATGCACATGGCAGTGATTCTCATCATGTTTAGTATGTATGGAAAGACAACGCACGCTGTTTTGACGCCGCGTAATATCTGGCTGAGCAATCGTCGCAGATCTCAAGGAGATCGTCGGTGATGAAACCCGCACTCGAAGGCACAATCAACACGCGTTTGGCTTTGTTGGGCTGCATTCCGTCGAGCTCGAGCTATTAGAAGGACTCTGAAAGGTGTTCAAAGTGTGCCGGGGGAAGTTGTTGTTGTTGTGGGACATTCTGGAAAGATGGTGAGCATCAACAAGGGCGCTAATCGTCCAGGGGACTGCTTCCTTGAGAAGGTTGACTGAGAGCGATGTACACCAGTCAGCGATCCGTGTCGTGCTATTGTGGAGAGCCCGAGAACTCGTGTAAAGTATTCAAAAAGCCAAGCGGCAAAGGTCCTGAAGCAGTCATTCCCAGATGGAAAGTGAGAGAGGTCTTGGAGAGACTGACCATCCGCAGCTACTATCCTCCGAGAGCCACGGAACTTCCTGTAAACGCATGTAGGGATGGCGCAGAGGCTGACGAGATCCGTGGTGAGGTGGTGGGATGACGCTGCTACACGGTCACACCCGAGTATAACGCGACAGGGGTATCCTTCTTAGTGAGTGGACAAGACCAGTCAAGCAATGTCATTGGCATCCAGTGATCCAAAGGGAGGGCAAGGTGCGGATACGGTCGAAATAGGTGATAAACATGGCTTTCAACTCACTGGTAATGTTGCGGGTTGAGTTGGCCGATAGCTGGTTTGTGCGAAACGTGTTGGAAGATGATATGAGAAGGGAATGAGAAAGAGGGAAAGAACTCCATCATGAAACTGGTGGGGGTTCTGGGAGAAAGTGATGGCATGCTACGGGAAATGGGCGCATTTCTGGCGGCGACGATCAGGGCGACGGGTAAACAACAGATGGAGGCAAGTGGCGTCGCTGCACAGAAACCTTCTTGGGGCCATAGCGATGCATACTTGACACCAATCAGCCATGTCTCCTGCAATGGCCACCTTCTTGTTGACCTGACATTGTAGTTTGGATTCGACTTGCAGTGGGAACTGACGAGACAGATGCTAATGCACCAGATCTGAGATCCTCTTTGTTGTTAGTCCGTAGAGGTACACATCCTTTCCCGGGAATTATCTCCCATCAGCCCGACGGTCTTGATGAATTTCATCTGTACCTTCTCCCCTACCTTTGGATCGTCTCTAGCATTCAATTATAAATTGATCAATGCAACCCTTCTTCCTGTTCAATAAGCCCGCGACCATGAAGATCTCAGTGATTATTGAGTCCGCACAGGTGAGATACAGCTGGAAATCCTGCGAAGCGTTGCTGACACTTGAACAAGAACGACGACGTGCAGGTCAACATTAGGAGGTGGCTATATGCACCCCAACAGCCCCCCGCCGACGCACCACCACCCCCCGCCGAAGCACCACAACCCCCCGAAGCACCACAGCCCCCCGCCGATGCCCCTGAGGCACTCGTCGACGATCCTCCCTTCTCTCGCTACTCCCGTAGCCATTCTCATCCTCCCTCGCCCTCCCTTGCCTCCCTTGCCTCCCTTGCCTCCCCTGCCTCCTTGCCTAAAGCCTCCACTTCAAGGGCTGCTCGCCAGCGCTCTTCGTCCCCCCTCAGCCTGCCACCTGCATCTCCACTCGCCTCCCTCTCCCGCTCTCTCACTATCTCCGACCAGGGCAAAGGCGGGAAGAGGGCAGTTGATCTTCAACCTGACGCCAGCTCTGCTCCCGGTCCCCGTCATTCTTCCGCCTCAACCCTGAGGAATTCACCCTCTCCCTTGTTGGCTTTCCCGAGGACCAATAGGGGTCTCCTCAGGAGACAGCCGAGGATCAAGAGTGAGATGGAGGAGGAGGATGTATCGGGTGGTCTCGCGGCGCAAGGTGAGCTTGTTGGTGAGAAGGAGAGGAAGAGAAGGAGAGGAGAGAAAGAGGGGAAGGGGACAGTTGAAGAGCCGATTTATGTGAATAGCGATGTGAGTGACGGATTGCAATTGCAAAAGTAGCATCGGGCTTACCACAACACCTAGTCTCCCTCCCCGCCTCCAGCTCCTGCTCCCCAGCCGCCTCCTCGCACTTTCACCAAGCTTGCTCTTCCCAGTCGCCGCAGGTTACAATCCGACGTTGATCGTCGAGGGGCGGGCTACAGATATACACGGGACGAGTTTTAGAACAGGAAGAGGTAGTGGTGATGTGACGGGTCGTTGAAGCAGGGAGCCGTTCTGTCTGTAATGACTGCTTTACGTGTGGATACCGATCAAGTCTCTCCTGGCTGCTGCATAGTCATTCGTTGTCCCATTAGTCATTCGTCGTCCCATTAGACATGCATCTCTCGTCAGCCTCCATTTGCACCGGTTCAACGACTTTGCCGCGTCAAGGCCCTCCTCGACTTGTCAGCCACACTCTTGTCTTTGGAGACTCAACAACAGGCTTCAAGGGCAATGCTTGTTATAGAGAAAGACTGGTACAGCTACTGCTTGAAGAGAAAGATCTACCCGTCTCTGTGCGCGATTGCAGGGGCATTTAGTGGCTTATACTAGAGCGAAATGGGAGGAGAGTTTATTTTGCATGAACAGGACCGAGAAAAAATAGGGTAGTATGTACAATGGGTGGAGGAGATCATGAGATGATTGAATATATAGAAACAAGATGAAATCAAAAGCCCGATGCGTCTACGATGAAATGTCCGGATTGTCCTTGAAAAAGATTCTATGGATACACAATTGTATTATATACGAGACCACAAATGTTCTGGATGATTTTGATGCTAGAAGCTGGAGGAGAGGCTAGTCGAAGGTGCTGGAGGAGATCGAGGGCTTAGCGATCAGGCCCGAAAGCAGTGATGTCTGTACCAGAACAAAGCTGTGTAGGACCATCAGCTTGTGTGCTATACCCCGCCAGGGGCGTCACTCACATCAGACCAGGTAGAGGGCAGAGTCATCTCTTGTATGGCATCAGGCTGCACGACAACGGCAGCCATCTTGGTTTTCATTAGCGTCCAGAGTATATCCCAGTCTAGGCTTGACTCACTTTTCCGACAGCCAGATGCCAATCGATGTGGCAATGCAAAGGCCAGACACCAGGGTTGTCTGACGTGATCCTTAAGAGAGCCCAAGAGTCACGCTGAACCCAAACGGTATCTTTCCTCAAAGGATTGTCCAACGATAGACTTTGGGAGTCGACGTCATCCGCGGACAAAGTACCGCTGCCACGAGCAAGGATCTTGAAACAATTGCCGTGCAGGTGGTATGGGTGGTCGATAGCAGAGTCCAGGTTGTTGATGACGATGTTGACGGCCCCTTCGTCGTCGAATGTGATGGTGGGAATGAGACTGGTATTGATGGAGCCTCCGCCTTGCACAACCGAGAGGAGAGGGTTATAGATCTGGTTCTGGTAGGAGACATTGTTGAAAGCCTGCTTCCAATCAGCACAGCCATGGACCGCAGAAGAGGTGACTTACAAATCCGTAGAAAGACTCGCCGCTGACGTTGGTGAATCTGCCAAATTCGCTGGACAAGACCTCAGTCGAAAGCGCAGTGCTAGATGCGGACTCGCTCGATCGAGGGCTGTACAAATTGGTCAGCCGCGATGCTGCTACCGGGAGCAGATGGAACATACGTGAGGGTATACTCGACATCAAGGGGTGTACATTCATCATCACTAGTAGCAAGGTCACTCCTGTTGAAGACGTCAGCGAGCATACTTTCACCCGAACATGAATGCTTACCAAGCGCTGGAGGTTGGCTCGGACGTTGTCAAGTTACCGCTACTACCTGTGTACCTTAGGATCGCCTTGCCAACCTGCTCGGTGGTAGTGCCGCAGTAGGTGGCAGTGGTGGCCCTAATCCAGAAGGCATCGCCCTCCGATCCTTCAGTGGTGTTGAGAAGAACCGAGAATCGCTCAGCAGGGGCAACGGGGACCTCGTGCAGAGTAGGGCCGTAAATGTCGGTACCATCGGCCTCGATCACTTCCAGATCGTGATCGTCAACGGACATACGCATCATGGCATGGGAGGCGACATTGATGAAGCGGAGTCGGACGGTGGAGTTGACAGGCACTTGGATTTCGGCAGGGGAAGGAATGTCGGATGAAGAAGAGTAGTTTCCCTGGAGGAAAGTCAGAAGACAAGGCGGTATGAAACATAAAATAGACTCACGATACCGTTGATCAAAGTTGAGTCGCCTTCAGGAGGAGCGAAAGACTAGTGCAGGCATGTCAGACTCTTACACATACATATAAAGGGGGGTTTACTTACGCCGTCGTAACCCGAGGTGCTCAGTAGGCCGTCGACGATGTTTTCAGATTGGTCATGCCTGTGAACGCTGCGGTGAGCTCAAAAATCTCCATACCTTCAAGTATGACACGTACATCCAGTCAGTGACGAATACGACCCTATCCTCGTCGTAGTCTGTTCCCCTCGCCAAAGCTTCATCAGGAGAGTGAACGACAATACTATAACATCGTGAGCATTCCTCCCGTCGCCGAGCACAACATTTGATAGAAGAAGAAGAACTCACGGGCCCCAGAGACCATCAGCCATGCTAACGCTATAGTGCGAGTGATACCAGTAAGTGCCCCATTGGTCATTGATCACAAATTCGTAGGTGTAGCTGCTGCTTGCTGGGATAGGACACTGCAGACGTGTCAGCGGGGCTATAAGAGCAGGTAAGAAACGACTCGCCTGAGTGATTCCAGGTACACCGTCCATGTAAGGAGTAGAGGCTTGAAATAGGCCGTGCCAATCTACAGAGGACAATTAGCATCGCACTCTTAGAGCACCTGGGCATGTTGATTTACGAATAGATTGGCCCTCGTCGAGTGAGTTGGTGACAGTCACCTTGATAGTGTCACCAGTATTGGCCTCGATCAAGGGGCCGGGAAACTCTCCGTTGATGGTATAGACCTCTCTCTCATAGCCATCAGGACTGGCAGTGGCGGTAGCAATCTCCCAAGTGTACTCTCGAGTAGTTGCTGTGGCAGAGATCTCAAAGTCATCCGAAAGGACGTAAGAAGTAGTGTTGGTAGTGACGGTGGAGGTAGCGCGACGGGAGAGATCTTCAGCCTTCGGAGGGCTAAAGCAGGGCGTCTTAGTTATTCGGCCAAACGTGGAGGTAAGGAAGGTATCTCACGACTGAATTGCGGCACCACAAGCTGTAGATGCTCCACCGAACAGTGCTAAAAGTGAAAGAAAGTGAAGACGCATGGTAGCCAAAGTTGGGTTGTCAAAGAGAGCTATTCAATCTTTGGCTATGGTCAGCAAGAAGCGCTTGTCTGAGCAACCGAAAGACCCACAAGAATGACGTTCTAGTGAGAAACGAACAGAGAGGGGAGAAGGAGGGAAAGGGTGGTCTGGGGGCGATCGAGGAGAAGATGATCCAGCAAAGAGAGGGCTGGATGGGGAAGAGGCTGATGGATGATTTTCGTACTGGGGAAAAGGCCTCACATGGTTCGTCGTGATCTCTTATATGTCTGAAAAAAACGAATGAACTGGAAGGCCTCAAAAAACAGTTCTCTCGGAAGCTATACAGGTCTAGCGACGCTCGAGTCTGCGGCAGCACCATCGCAACACTGGCTGCACGCAGTGACTGCACGCTGGCGACAAAAACACCTTTGTCCCGGGGCTCGAGCCACTCAGGTATATCAGGATCAAATGGGGTATGGGGAAAAATATAACGTTGTTGCTGACAATAGAAACCTCCGCGGCAGGGTTTGTGTGTTCGGTGCGCAGGCAGCAGAGAAGCATACGGTACAGGGAGAGATCTGTACGTTAAATTAATAAAGCTTTCGACTGCGATATTCTTCACATCACATGGGAAGGCAGAGCGCAAATAGATAGCGGGAATGATGCTCAGTTACCAGTCACCAGCAGGGGAATATGCTGCTGCCTCGGCGACCCGATTTATACAATGATGTGCAGCGGCGGGGAGGAGTACATGATGGGATGATAGAGACATGTATGATTTATGGAAGTTCCCCATGTAGCATAGATCCAGTAAGCCCATGGTGACTCACTCCAGTGCTGACAGGCTGTGGCCTTAAGTGACTGCGTGGAACTTGGAAGGGAGCTCATAACTGTACAATGACTGGTACGTCCGTTGTCGCGCCCATGGCTTTCTTTCGTCGCATCTTCTTCGCCTCAAGGAGCATGATCTGGGTCTCATTTACACACGCTCCGGCACAGCAAAGGGAGCCGAAGGCCGAAGAGGACTGCATGGCTAGTAGTACTGGCAGATAATACAGACCCCAATCGTCTAATATACAGTACCACCAAGAAATCCGATGCCAAGGAGCATAACCGTATCTGCGGTGAGTCACCGTCTCTGCCATGCCTGATCGATGCCCTGTGGCCTGCTGCTGGCTGCTATAGCCACGCGTGCTTTATCCGAGCTATGTGTGAGCCTTTGCTACAAGCCACAAGCTACAGGTCACAGGCCCCCAGGCCCCCAGACCCCAGGCGCAGTGCCTTTTGTGTCCATCTTATATCAGAATAATGGAAGAAGAAGTGTAGGCATGCAACGCAGGACTTCAAGGTACGCTAGACGCTAGCCAAGAGCAGCGCTCCTGTGCTTTAAACTCGCCCTGCATGACATGAACATGTGATTGTCCGAAACACAAAGAACGGCAACGGTGCTGTTTTCTAGCGTGCGTAGAAGGTGGGGGGCAATGCGTACATACATGCACTGTGTGCAGATGGTTCCTTGAACAGCACATGAGACTGAGATCCCGAATAGCACAAACGCATGACACCTCAGCTGCGGGATGGAAAGGGGATAATCAGCGTAGCCAGCCGACGGTCATGAAGCGCGCAGTCGCCTATGTATGATATGTTGAGCGACGAATGGCTGTGCGTGCATTACTGTTGCGGCTTGCGTGCGCCGTCGCGGGACGTCGGTTGCAGATACCGTTCCGGTTCTTCACCTTATTGTCCTTGGTCTCATTATAGACCTCAGGCCTGAGGTTCGGCTTTAGCATGTTAGAGTTTGCATGCAGCCGGTGCCGACCAATCCGGAATCCAGGAGTCTTGTAAATAACACTGCTCAACCATCAACTTACGCGTCGCGCACGAGATCCGATATCAATTCAGCAAGATATCATTGACGAGACCTTCATGGCTCTCATCGTCCTCCATGCCACCCCCGAATATCCGTAGTCACCCTCAACAGCGCCCTCTGATCCTGATTTATGCAGTATGATCCCGATCCATCCCTCATGCTTTTGCTTACCATGCGTGACCTTGTTTATGCTTATTTCCGCTTCTCTTGTCGGGAGTCTTGCATATGATGACTCTTGAGCGTTACCTGTTCATGATGTCCATCCCCTCCTGCGCATCGTGTATGTCGGGTCAAAGAGGTGGAGGCCGCCCAGGGTAGCTATAGCGGTGATATTGGCAAAGAGAAGCCTGCGTTCATTGCTTGTGGGGCTGCGAGCGAGCTTTGCCAGCCTCGCACAGCTCTTTCAGATGTCAAGAAGCGACGTGAATACCGTTGTTTGGGTCCCTGAAAGATGTAGAGCATACTGGTGTTGTCCTGCTTTTCCTGCAAAGCATAGTGCCGACTCTGTCGAGTCTTAGCATTCGGCTTTGGGTATCTACTAATTGATGATAAGCAGCCTGCATGACCAAGCTCGTCTAGTGCGAAGCTACGAAAAGGTAGATCTCTTAGTCTTTGATCTGCCTTGTCTCTGGATTGCCGTCGTCCATCCGGGATGTGGATTCGGGGTACTGGGGGTTGGGGCCGAAGAGGGTTTCTCATAGGCCTCACAGCCCCCTTTTGACGATTGAAACAATCAGCATGCTGATCCACGGACATGGCAGAATCGGTTCAGGGAGTGTGGTACTAGTGAGTTACGCAGCTTGGCAGCTTGTTGCCTTTCACGCGTGAAGACCTGCACAAGGCTTACGGTATGTAATATCCGTTCATACCTCGAAGCAGGCATCATACAAAACAACGCGGAGAGTGCCTCTTTTTGCATAGCACGAGATGGACAAGTTCGAGATTGAGGGGACCATCGCACAACTCGAGAGATAGTCGGGAAGATGACTGGGGAGCTACGTAGTAGATGGCATCAGCGGTATGTTTGATAAGGCGGCAGCTTGTATAGTAGTATATCGTCGCTGATAGGGTGGCTGTCGAACATCGTTCTGTTGCGGCATGTTGAGCTCAGAGCGAAAGTTACCGGCTTGCAAGGGCGGGTCGTAAGTGGGACAACACCTCCAGCACTGTGCACAGGTACAATGAAATACCTGCATGACTGCATTAAGGGCTCAGCCGAGCAACACCTCATAGACAATACTATCCCGCTATCAGCCGGCGAGAATCTCTGGGAATCAATAAGACTCACACTACAACATTCACAACGATCAAAGGTACTAGTCATTATGTCAGCGATGTCCAAGTAGAGCGTCATACACTGCGGCTCTTGCCGTGATTCAAAAGATACTTACTCCGCATCAAAGTCCTCGTCGCGGATATCAGATTGACCAGCTTGGCCTTGACGCCCGGCCCTTCCCCACTCCCCCGTCCGCCGAAGCTTGTCGCGGATCCGGGAGCGTCATAGAGATGTGGTGTGGGAGAGTGTCCAAAGCCTTGGTTGGCGGCAGCATGGGAGCGGGTAGACCAGCCGACTGTAGATAAGTGGAGATCCTTAGCGCTAAGTGGGCTGTGAGAAAGAGGCGTACGCACTGCGAGCCAAGAAGCGTTCTTCGTTGAGGATGGCGATGGCATTTGTAAAGAGGAGCCCGATGTAGAGGAGACTGCCAAAGTAACCCCAGACCATTGTGGATCGTTTTGTTGTGACGAGACACCCCGTGGGCCGAGTGAAAGAGAAGAAGACGCGCCTCGGCGGACATTGCCGTCCACACGTGGCTGTGGTTTGCCACCGAGCGGGGTCTCCAGCCACAACGTCATCATGCCCTCAACGTCCATCTGTTTCTGCAACTGCAACTCCACAAGGTACATCCACATACAATGGCCTCTTCTCTGCCTCAGGTGAGTGCCGTTCATGGGCCAGTATCTTTGCTCACACGCTCTCAGTACTACAACATCTTGGTATGTTCCGTCACGACCCTCTCGCGCGCACTTACTGACAGTCTATAGGGCGTCAATCCCACAGCGACTGCGTGAGACACTTTCCATAAGTATCAACACCACCTGACTTGCGACAGCGATGAAATCCGAACAGCCTACAAGAAGGCGTCTCTGAGAAGCCACCCCGACAGACTACCTCAGACAGCGACACCCCAGGAAAGACGTACAGCCACAGAACGCTTCGTGCGCGACCCCTCTTACTACCCAACTCATGCTAACAATTTCTCAGCAAATTCTCTCTGACGCTTACTATGTGCTCTCCGACCCCGGTCGTCGGGCTGAGTACGACGCTCTCTTCCGCTCTCGCCCTCAGAACGCCTTTACTGAAGAGGACGCGACCGACTTTGAACAAGAACAAGCTTCAGGCAACTTCTTTCAAAACTTTTCGTCATTCTTCCAGGACGCTACTGGCTCTACTGGTGGATCCTCATCTGCTGGCGAAAAGGCTGGCGCTGGCGCCAGACCGGACGCGAACAATGTCTTTGGAGACGTCTTTGAAGAAATGCTCGCTCCGGAAGTCGCCCACGTCAGGCCCTGGTGGTCCTGGGTCGGCGGTGTTTCAGGCGCCAGCTTGGGCTATATCGTCGCCAATGTGCCCGGTGCTGTGGCTGGTGGTGAGTCGCGGGTTTCTTTCAAGATTGGAGGCAGTATCAGTATCGGAGGAAGGAGACGCTGAAGCGTGCCACTTGTTTTTGTGAGTTAGGTTTTGCGGGAAACAGGCTCGGAGCTGTAAGAGATGCCAAGGGCAGGCCCGTTGGAGAGGTGTTTAAGGATCTCGGAGGCGCGCAAAAGGCAGAGGTGAGTACATTTACATCGTTGAGGCTTATCTGACTCTGGTCAGATTCTCAAAGCGCTCGCATTCAAAGTGTTGGGGAGTATGGGATAGATTCAGCTGTAAATGGTATTGTCAAATAGATTCGTGGGTGGTTTGTATCCGAGTGTAACAATGCATGCTCTATTATATCAAGGACTCTCGTCAATGGTCAACTTGACCCTCCCGTCGACAATCTCTACCGAGATCCTATTCCAGGTCAGCAGAGAGCGTTTCATACAATTGAAGACTCACTTGGAAAGGTCAGTCACTATCCAGGTAGCGCCCAGACCCTCCAGCTGCTCCCTGGTGTGAGAAGTACAGGTGGCGATAACATTTGATCCAGCAGCGACCCCGCTCTTCACACCAGACGGGGCATCCTCCACGACAATACCTACAGACCCATCAGTTGCTTGGCCAGTCTTCCACGAAACACTGACAGTCCGTCACATCCACGTCAAGAGCCTTGGCCCCAGCATAGTAAGGCTCGGGGAAAGGCTTCCCCTTGGTCACATCGTCACCAGTGATCACCTTTGGTGCTGAGGGAATGCCAGCGGTAGGCAGCGCCGCAGAAGCATATATGCTAGTCGCCGACGTGACGATGGCCCACACGGGAATGGGAGAAGTGTTGAGCTGGTTGAGGAGATCGATGACGTTGGGAAGGGGAACGAGGCCATCTTTTCCCGCTGCTTGAAGCTCCTTGGCTTCGTGGACAATCATGCCTTCAAAGAGCTCTGTCGCTTTCTGTGCGCCGTGTCAGCCGGGGGATACGAAAAGAAGGAGACATGACGTGCGCGGAGCTCGTCAGCGTCGGTGATGTTACACCACCTCCTCATGTTGTCCACGGTCCTGACGCCATGAGAGGTACGAAGCACCTCGTGGAGGTCAAGGTCGTACTCTTTGGCAAAGTACTCCCACGTCGCCTCGACAGCGGGGGTCGAGTCTGGACAATGTGAGCATAGTCCAGGTGTGTTGGTAGGGACATACCGAGAAGGGTGCCGTCCATGTCGAAGAGGAATGCCCTCGCGTCGGCTTGTGATATGGCGGACATGGTCGTTATGTACACAGATGGGAGACGAGAGAGGAGAACTGTTGGCCTTTATAGCGCGCAGGGAGAACGGCTAAATGCTGCTGAACGGTATCTTATCAGCCAGCGGCGCAGACCGCCATCCATCCTCCGGTATATATAATCCTGGTCTCGCCTCGATAGGGCTGTCCACCACTGGGTATGGCGCTGCAAGTGCAATGGAAGGGTCCAGTGCATGCATCGCATGGCTTTGGGATGCACTTTGTATGGTTCCCTTATCAGATGGTTAATTCCACGTCACCCCTCCGGCCTGAGCTGCCGCGACGCCTAAAGGAGAGAAAGAGGAATTGACAGAAATCTACTCGAAAACACAATAAAGAGGAGCGCCAACCCCCCGCCCTCCTGCTCACCATTCCACGCCTCGCCCACCTCGCCCACGCACTACGCCCCCTCACAAGAACACCCGTCCCCCCACTCGCACGCACCATGGCCGCCAACGTCAACGCCAGTGCCCCTGCTGCCCCCGTCGTGTCCATGGAGAAGGTGCGTACACTGTCTATGCAGCTTCCCGTCTGACGTCGTTCTGCAGACCGACAAGAGGGACTACCTCATCGCGCTTGAGAAGAGTGCCCAGTCCGCATGGGCTGACCAAAAGGTCTTTGAGACCAACCCTCCACCTCTCCCCGAAGGCATTAGCTCGTACGCCGATTTTTTCGCCTCTGGCAAATCTATGGAAGACCTCCAAAAACAGTACCCCAAATGGTTCGGTACATTCCCCTACGCCTACATGAACGGTTCCCTCCATCTTGGTCACGCTTTCACTATCAGCAAAGTCGAGTTTGCCGCTGGTTTCGAAAGGATGAGGGGAAAGAGGGTCCTGTTCCCTGTTGCATACCACGCCACTGGTATGCCCATCAAGGTGTGTCTCTATGGACAGTTGTCGATTGCTGGCTAACAAAACTAGTCTGCCTCTGACAAACTCATCCGCGAGATGGAACTTTTCGGTCAAGACTTTGCTGGATACGAGGCTGAGCCTGAGGAAACTGACGCCCTCGTCACCGCCAAGGGCGAGTCTTCTGACCCCTCCAAGGGAAAGAAGGGAAAACTTCAGGCCAAGTCCACCGGTCTCACCTACCAATTCCAGATCCTCGAGCTTATCGGTGTGCCCCGAGAAGAGCTCAAGCAATTCGCCGAGCCCCTCCACTGGCTCAACTACTTCCCTCCCATCGCCAAGACCGACTTGACCGGTGCTGGTGCCCGAGTTGACTGGAGAAGACAGTTCATCACCACCCCTGCGAACCCTTACTACGACTCGTTTGTCCGATGGCAGATGAACAAGCTTCACAAACAAGAGCGAGTCAAGTTTGGCAAGCGATACACAATCTACTCTCCCAAGGACGGCCAGCCCTGTATGGACCACGACCGTTCTAGTGGTGAGGCTGTCAACCCCCAAGAGTACACTGCCGTCAAGATGGAGGTCCTCGGGTGGGGTCCTTATGCCTCTGACGACTTCAAAAAATCTGTCGAGGGCAAAAAGGTCCACATGGTCGCTGCTACTCTTCGTCCCGAGACCATGTACGGCCAGACCAACTGCTACGTCGGTGTCAACATCAAGTATGGTCTCTACGAGGCCAACGACAACGAGCTCTTCCTCGTCACTGACCGTGCGGCCCGGAACATGGCTTTCCAGGGTATCTTTGACCGACCCAGGGGGGTCTACACCAAGGTCGCCGAGATCACTGGTGAGGACTTGCTCGGTACCAAGATTACTCCTCCCTTCGGTCTCGTCAAGGAAGTCTACGTTCTCCCCATGGAGGGTGTCCTTCCCACCAAGGGTACCGGTGTTGTCACCTCTGTTCCTTCCGACTCTCCCGACGACTGGAGAGCCCTCATGGACCTCAGGAAGAAGGCCGAGATGTACAAGATCAAGCCCGAATGGGCGGCTGTCGACCCCATCGCCGTACTTACCACCCCCAAGTACGGTGACATGGCAGCCGAGACTCTTTGTACGCAGCTCAAGATTCAATCCCAGCGTGACAAGGACAAGCTCGCTGAAGCCAAGGCCGAGACCTACAAAGAGGGCTTTTACAACGGAAAGATGCTTGTTGGTGAATTCAAGGGTCTGTCGGTGCAGGAGGCCAAGCCCAGGGTCAGGCAGCAGATGCTTGATGCTGGTTTGGCCGTGGCTTATGCCGAGCCCGAGAGCGAGGTCATCTCTCGAAGTGCCGATGTCTGTGTTGTCGCGCTGATCGACCAATGGTATCTCGACTACGGAGAGCCCGCCTGGAAGTCTGCCGCCGAAAAGTGAGTCGTCTGTAACGTTAGACAGAGTTGTGGCTAACAGTATGAAGGCTCCTTGACCAACTCAACACCTACCAGGGCGAGACCCGAAACAACTTCAAGTCTGTCCTTGACTGGCTCAACCAGTGGGCTTGCGCCCGATCCTACGGTCTCGGTTCCAAGCTCCCTTGGGACCCCGTGTGGCTCGTCGAGTCTCTGTCCGACTCTACTGTGTACATGTCCTACTACACCGTCGCCAACCTTCTTCACGAGGATTACTTTGGCAAGACTCCCGGTCCCCTTGGTATCACCCCCGAGCAGATGACTGACGAGGTCTGGGAACACGTTCTCGGCGACGGTCAACTCCCCGCCGATAGTCCTCTCGATCCCGAAAAGGCCGCCCAGCTCAAGTACAGTTTCAACTACTTTTACCCTCTCGACGTCCGATCCTCCGGCAAGGACCTTATCCCCAACCACTTGACTTTCTGGGTCTACTGCCACGCTGCGCTCTTTCCCGAGAAGCACTGGCCCAAGGCGGTTAGGGCCAACGGGCACTTGATGCTTAACGGAAAGAAGATGTCCAAGTCTACCGGAAACTTCCTGACCATGGCCGAGGCTACCAAGAAGTACGGTGCGGATGCTATGAGGTTGACTCTTGCCGATGCTGGTGACGATATTTCGGACGCCAAGTGAGTGCATCCACCAAATGTGGTTGTCTACTAATCCGATGTAGCTTTGAGGAGACCGTCGCCAACGCTGCCATTCTCCGACTCCACACTTGCTCCACCTGGGCCGAGGAGATGAAGTCGACCAAGGACCAGCTCAGGACTGGCGAGTTCAACGACTTTGATCGTGGCTTCCAGGCCGAGATGGACGCTCTCATCACCGAGGCTTATGGTGCTTTCGAACAGTGAGTATCGCCTCCTTCTCTTGATCGTTTGCTGATGACTGGTAGGATGGAGTTCAAGCACGCTCTCAAGTCTGGTCTTTACGACTTTGAGAACGCCCGTAACTGGTACCGAATGGTCTCCGACCCTGCCAACGGCGGTAGCGGCATGCACAAGGACCTCGTCTTCACCTGGATTCGTAACCACGCTCTCCTCATCACACCCTTCACCCCACACTACTCCGAGTTCCTCTGGAAGAACGTCCTCGGCGAGCAAACCTCTGTCCAGACTGCTCTGTACCCCGAACCCTCTGGCCCCATTAACCGATCTGTTCTCGAGCAGACTGATTACCTCCGAGGTGTTGTTGACACCATCCGAGGTGCCGAGGCGCAAGCTGCCAAGAGAAAGGGCAAGAAGGCTGCGGCGACAGCGGTTTACGACCCCACCAAGACAAAGGACGTGAGGGTCTTTGTTGCCAGAGAGTTCCCTCAATGGCAAGATACCGCGGTGGAGATCATGAAGAACGAGGCTTGGGACGGCGAGAAGATTGACGATGCCAAGCTGAGGCAAGGTCTTGACAAGGCTGGTTTGATGAAGGACAAGAAGGTCATGCCTTTCTGCCAGGCTTTCAAGGTGCGTGTCGCAATGCATCGCTTGCATGTATCCACTAACCGGACGTGCAGCGTAAATTGATCGCCACTGGTCCCTCCGCTTTCGATCGAACCCTTCCCTTCGACGAGCTCCACACCCTCAAGATGCTTGCTCCCCTCATCAAGTCTTCTCTTCGATTCGAGAATGTTGATGTTGTCAGCGTCGATGACGCGAGGGCTTTGATCGAGAAGGAAGGCGAGAAGGAAGGATGGACCAAGGAGAGGGTTGAGAGCAGTGAGCCCGGGGTACCCGGAGTACAGTTCTGGAATGTCAGTGTGTAGATATAGATATCAGGTTATATATGCTTGCATGTGAAGTCAATAGTTTGGTCGTATATGACATGGCAAATACACATGACTGAGGCGATCGTGCTCCTATGGCTTCTTCGCTGATTGCCCGAGGATCTTGACACCTGATCTACCCACATAGCTCAATCCACTCCAAATAGTAGTTCCTGCTACGGCCCATCTGCAAGTTGTCAGTGCGCATAACCGCTTTCGTTCGTCTCAGTACTTACTGAAGTGCCTGCAAAGGTAACGAAATGTCCATAGAAAGGAGTGGGGATACCGTCGTCACACCCATGAGGACTAGTTGCAGGAGCGTGTTAATCTTGTATAGTCAGCGCACATAATATCTTTGGACCAGACTGGCTCGCCTTGCTGATCTGGGTCGGTGTCACTTGGGCCGATGGTATGGAAAAGTCAAAGTACCGCTGGAGTGTGCGCTTTGTGACTGTCAGGCTTAGGCTCAAAGAGTTGAAAGACCACTCACGGGACGAGGCAGGGAGATGAATCGAAAGTAGAAGGCTGAGATGGAAAGACCGACATCTCGACCGACGATAAGGATTGCAAGAGGGACTGGAGATAATGAGCAGGGCAGAAGTCGGAGGTCTGGAGTGACTTACTCGGAAGCAGACCAGCATAAGCTAGAGTTCCGACCAAGGTTGTCATCAAGGCCTTGTCTGCGGCGGGGTCCAGTATAGACCCCAGGACCGAAAAACTGTTATACCGCCTGGCCAGCCATCCGTCTAGCTACATCATGCGTCAGCTCCCTGACATGAAGCTAGAATATATTGCACCAACCCAGTCTGTTACACCACTTGCAAAAAGTATACCAGTCGCGAGCGCATAATCGCCTTGCACAATCTCATAGCCCAATAACGGACATGCCAGCAACCTTGCAAGTGTGAGGGCGTTCGGTATTGTGTATGGAGATTCGTAGAGATCTTTCTGAGCTGCAGGCGACGATGGTGCAGGGGGCTGTAGAGTGTCAACTGTGTGATTCCATACGACTTTGCTACTCACAGTCGACGGTGTAGAAGTAGCCGCCTTCTCCTTGCCCTCGGGCTTTTCAGTCGACATATATCTCCTAAATCCCATGATTTGCCATTCCAATCGTCTCTGGATCCTTCTCGCTCCCCCGCATTGCCCCCTTGGGACTTCAGCCCCTGGTGTGACCATAGACAACAGTCGCCGGGGTCCGGCACTGCAGCGGGCGCTCTGGGGGTGCCCAAGCAGCGCGCGTACGGCTGAGCGGTCGAGGGTGAGCAAAACGGCTCTGGGGGTGGCTGACGGGAGCATTGTGTTGAGTGATAAGTGTGGCACTATCCCAGCGAACTCAACGAACGGTGAGCCGGCCTTTTCCAAGCGTCATGCCGGAGATCTCCACCCTCCGTTGCCCCACGTCGGCGGATGCCGCTTGTTGTGTCCGCCGTCAGCCGCGCCCTCTCGCTTACGGCCGTGAGCGTCCGTGCATGACAGCGCCGAAGTTTGGTTCCGCCCCAGCCTGCCACTGCTGATGATGGTTTCCTTTTGACGCTCTGGATTGCCTCAGCCATGCACTCCCCACCAGCCATTGAGAAGCTCGTTTATCAGCAGGTGAGCTGTTACTGACATTCGCCGGCATCAGCTGCAAATGCCTTACCGGCCCACGGCTCCACCGTTCTTTGACAAATCGCACATGCATGTACACTCTAGTACAGCAAACTTTCGAGTCTCGACCGAGGATATATAAGAGAGCTCGAACGATACGATCGACCCCATAACACATTACTCACCTTTCTGTCGTCCCCCTCATTGCCCGGAACATCCTTTGCCCCACAGCGCCTTCCACCCTCCTATACACACATCACCTGTCATTCGCCATGCTGGAGCCCGTAGAAGCCGAATTTGCCAGGCCCCCCATCTACAACGATGCACAAGAGGAGGTCTTTCAATCTGAAGAGATCGAGGAGCCGAACGCCATCACCCATGCCGCCAACAACCTTACCCGGGTCGAGACTAGGGAAGGTCGCCAAGCCAGTCCCACCCATTCTCAGAGCTCCACGCTCCAGAATAACGGAGTGGCTGCCAAGCTTGACGATCCCGAGAAGGGTGGCTATCAAAAGACAGCAGACAACAAAATCCTCGTAACATTTGACGTCGGGGAAGATCCCAAGGAATGGACAAAGTCCAAGAAGTGGCAAGTTGTTCAGTTCCGACCATTTGTCAAATCACTGACGCACATTCAGGCTTGCTACTATTACGGCTTCAATGCTATGCTTGACGGTGGCCCTGGGAAGCGCCATGCCAACAGGGGATCTCCCTGGTGCGGCAGAGGGTCTTCATGTGTCCGATGAAGTCATCTACTTGACTATCACGCTTTTCGTGGCCGGCTTTGGTATTGGCCCTCTCTTCTTTGCTCCTCGTATGTATCTTCAGTCTCGAGCTTTCATCGTGCTGACTTTGCATCAGTGAGTGAACTTTACGGCCGTCAGCCGGTGTACATGGTCTCAATAATCTTCTATTTTCTCTTTACTCTTCCTTCATGTCTCGCCAAAAACGTCGCCACTACATTGGCCGGCAGAATGATTGCTGGTATTGCCTCTTCAGCCCCCTTCACAAATGTCGGTGGCACTATTGCGGATGTCTGGGCTGTTCAAGACCGCGGCATCCCTATGGCCATCTATAGTTCAACATTGTTGTGAGTACTTACCCTCTGTACATGTCTCTCGCCCTACTGACAAGAAGCAGTATGGGACCATGTCTGGGTCCCCTCTTCGGAGGATGGATCGCTCAAAAGACAGGTACTTGGCGATGGATCTACTGGGTCCTCTTCATTACCATCGGCGCCAGCTGCATTCTTTGTCTCTTCAACCCCGAGACTCTCGCGCCCGTCCTTCTTCGCAAGAAAGCCAAGAAGCTCAACAAACAGCACAACACCGACGCCTACACAACCGAAGCCGACCTCCACAGACCGTCATTCGGAACTGCCATCAAAGCTGCTTTGATTAGACCGTTCGCAATGATGATTGAGCCTATCATCATCCTCTTCACATTCTACCTTTCGTTCGTTTATGCTCTGTTGTACGCCACCTTCTTTGCCTTCCCTATCGCATTCGAAGAGATTCGAGGGTGGAGTATGGGCATGACTGGCGTTTCGTTCGTCTCGATCATTGCAAGTTTCTTCTTCCTGTTACGGACCGAAGCTGACTCGTTACCACAGATCGGCATCTTCCTCGCGAATGTTGTCATAATGCCTCTGCAAGAGAGACTTTACAAGAAGTACACGGCCAAACACGGCTCATCTCCCGAAGGTCGTCTCTACCCCATGATGATTGGAGCCATGTACGTGCTCTCTTGTCGCATATAGCCTTCACTGACCTGCTTTCTTAGCGTTCTCCCTCCAGCTCTTTTCATCCTGGCATTCACCTCCTACCCGGGCGTCAGCTGGGTCGGCCCTTGTATCTGTGGTATCATGTTTGGCTTTGCTATGGTCTCCATCTACATCTCCGGAAACTCGTACATTGTTGACTCCTATTCCAATGTCGCTGCTTCTGCCATCTCTTCAAAGAACATGATCAGATCTTTCGTTGGCGCTTCTGTGCCACTGTGGATCACCCAACTCTTCGTAAGCTTTTACGGCAACTATCTCATCGAAGCTAACCGGTATCGCAGCACAACTTGGGGTTCCAATACGCTGGTCTTTTCCTCGCCTTGGTTTCCGTGGTTCTCATGCCCATTCCCTTCTTCTTCTTCTGGAAGGGTGCTTGGGTGCGATCAAAGTCCGACAAGGCGAACAGGTAATCCTCTTTCCAATCTCGTACATTATGCAGCTGTATACAAATGGGCAAAAGAAGGCAGCTTGTCCAGAAAAGAGAGCATCTATACATACAGCACTACCTATGATTACAGAACACTTCCAAGATACACATATTCTAGAGTACAGTTCCTCTCTAATCATCGTCGTCAGATTCATCGTCCTCTTGGCCTTTGTGCGAGTGTTTGAACAGTTCTGTTGAATCATGTTAGCGTGAGAAGAACGGAGACTGGAGTACATACTCATGATGTCGTCCATCGTGAGCTTCATGAGTCCCTTGCCTGCTTGGCCCGAGAGCGCTGCGTTGGACAATTCTCGTTTATTGTTTTGAAGAGCGAGAATACCTGTAGCACCTGATGAGCAAGAATGCTTCCAGTGGCGATTGATACGTACGATCCTCCACCGTCTCCTCAATAGTCAATTTGTAGATGTTCACGTCACGCTTCTGTCCGAGGCTTGGTGCCAGTCAGTCTATGGCAAATAGGCATGCGCACGACTCACCGATGAGCACGATCAAAGGCTTGATCCTCAAGACTACATGAGCTGTCAGCATTGAATTCAAGCTCTGGGTTATCTACACTCACGCAGGATTCCACCACAGGTCCATGAGGACCACGTTGTTACAACACGTCAAGTTCAGACCCGTGCTACCAGCCTTGAAAGATATGAGGATGACCTTGACAACAGGGTCATTCTTGATAGCTTGGAGGGACTGTTGACGCTTGTCGTTCCTCATCGACCCGTCGTCTACGCAAAGTCAGTATCGACCACCGCGAAATGGGGAACGGACTGACACCTGACAAACGCAATCTTGTGCTTTTTCAAGAAGGGCTCCACCAGGTTGAGAAAGGTTGTAAACTGGGAGAACACAATAGTCTTTTCTTGCCCGCCGCTCTTCTCGTCGATCTCGGACAAAAGCTTGAGCAAGGTCCGGATCTTGGCGCTATCAGGCGGAAGGTTGGATGATTTGTCACGAGCCGAGACGCGTTCTGTTAGACCTATGCACCCAGCGCAATGAGTGGCAGTCTGGTCTTGCAGCCTACAAAACGTCAACATCATCTACGGACTTTGATATATGGTACTCACTTGACAAAACAAATGGAACAAGTCTTGCCTTTAGCAACGCCGAGCCCACCGAGCATGTCAGCCAGCTCATCCGCCTCGTCTTTGACGGGCGCAGCTTTGGCAACATCATCAGCCTCGAGCGCCTCGCCCATATCCAAAGAGTTGGTGACCAGTGAGGGGTGAACACACGCCTGCCGGAGACGTAAAAGCAACGTCAAGACGGAGGTGTAGTTGGCAGTAGCGCTGCCGCTCTTGACAAACTGTGACTTGTCAGATCTCGCAATGACAATATGCTATGCGTACCTTGTTGAACGTGATACTGGTCTTCTTCTCCAAAGCTTCGTAAAAGGCGCGCTCATCCTCGTCAAACGGACATGGCATTACCTGTACCGTTCGGCCCGGAAGGTTGAGAATCTTTTTGCCGTCTGCGAGATGATTAGCAGTGAGCATGGTGAATCATTATGGTGAATCATTTCGACTTGCCAATTTCGGCGTCCTTGGTACGGCGCAGCATGATAGCCTTGAGGACAACATGGAGACGCTTCATTGCAATTTTGGTACGACCTTCCTTGACGAGCGCAGAGATACGAATTCTAAACTCTTGCCAATCGTCCAGAGGCCTTGCACGAAGGAATTGGAAGAGAGTGAACAGTTCCTCGACATTGTTCTGGATGGGGGTACTGATATTGCATTAGCAATGTATAGCAGCGAACGAAGACTCACCCTGTCAGACACCATCTGTACTTGGCTCGGAGAGCGACGGCGGCCTTTGCTTGTTTGGTATTTCTGTTCTTGATGTTTTGGGCCTCGTCTGGGTACCTTCAGTAGTTGCATCATTGTCGACGAAGGCACTCACCGACGACGATCCTCAACCACTTTACTTGGAACAGAGCACTCATAGTCGCCTTCTTTTTCACGGCCTTCTTCCTGCCTTTCGGCGCCACATCATCAGAGTCGGAATCCAGCTGGTCGTCCAGTCGCGACTGCATCTCCTTTTCGTAGATGCCGAATTCCGAGGAGACGGTAGCAAAAGTGGTGATAACGACATCGTAGCCCTCGAGGGTCTTGCCCAATTTTGTCCGGCTGGACGTATGGTGGGTGGTAACTTTGAGGACTCCGGGAGAGGTCTTGGTGTTGCACTCGGTAGCCCATTGTTCCATGACTGCAAGAGGACAAATGATGCTATGCTGTGTCAGGGCTTGTTGCAGTACGTCCAGGCTACTCACAGAGTACCACCCTTGTATCCGGCCTTCTTCTCAGCGGGGGTAGGCTTGCCTTCCACAATCCTGGCCAACGTTTGTACCGTCTTGCCCAAACCCATGTCCTATGGCTGATCAGCTGGTGCTCTCGAGGAGGGTTGGACTCACGTCTGCAAGGATCCCTCCGTATTTACGCCCGCTCTCTCGCTGCCTCATCCACTTGACACCCCTCACTTGATGGGGCATCAATTTCATGCCCTTTGCGAAACCCTCGATTTTGTCGTCCCCTTCCTGTATTCCATCATCTCCCATCTCATCCTCTCCATCACCGATGGCCCCGCTCAAGAGCTCTGCCATGTGCTTCTCTGCGTCGCCGTTGTACCGGACCATGTCGTCGGCAGTGATACTAGCGCCGGCGATGTCAAAATTCTCGCGGGGAACGTCGTCCTCTACGGGAGCTTTGCTTGTCGAAGCAAGGGGAGCCCTAGCATTGGGCACTGTGCCAGGATTGACACCCCCAGGCTGTACCCAAGCCGGCCATCCATTGACATAACCCTTCGTCGTACCAAATGCAGGCTGGCGAGCCGGCTGGCTGAACGTCTGCTTGATCCGAGACTGGGGCTTTTGAAAAGCATTCGGAGTGGCGGGCTTGATATAGCTGGAGTAGGGATAGCTCAGCTTTGAAGTTCTGGATTTTTGGGAGAGGGACGACCCGAAAGAGTCAAAGTTGTATCCTCTGGAGGACTGGCCGGCGGAAACGTTAGACCTGTTGGAAACATCGGAGAGGGTATTGCCACCGATATAGACCCCCGAGGAAGCGGGGGAGTAGTTGGGTCCGCTGTGGGCGTAGCCAGCCCCCTGCTTCCTGGTGGGCTCTCCACGAGCGTAGGGAGGGGTGTCTGCTGTGAGATCTACGACGGGCGTTCTGGCTGGGGTGGCGGCCTCGTGAATCTCGATGGATTCCATCATGCTTGGTATGGCGGCGAGTCGGGTTGCAGCGTTCAGGTGGACAGAGAAGGGGTCAATATATCCCAATATATCCTGGAGCGTTTGTTGACATCCTCCGGGATCAAATCGGCTGCCTCCACCACCGCATACACAATGTCTGGAAAGCAACGTCTTGCATGAATATGGTATTACAGTATACAGAGCAGTCCGCCAATGAGACGATGGATATAATTACACTAAGAGAACAGAGTTGATGCAGCCATCGTTCTCGGGGTTGTTTGTGATCTGCGCATACTCTGGTGGGACATCAGCGATATTCGCCCAACTGATAGATTGACGACTCACTTGACCAGACCACCTTACCACCAGTTGTCACCATACCCAGTTCACTGACATTGACCTCAACGATGGTACCCTTGGTGAGTACACCGAGCGATGTGTAGAGAGGAGATTGGGGGTTCTTCTTGACACCAAGGATAGGGAGTTGGAAAGTGGTTTTGAGCTCGGGGTGAGTGACGTTGGCTTTGGTCATTCGCTGCAGGGCGTCAGAATATCCCTAGAGTGCATTATCGTACTTACAAGACCGGTGGGCCTGATGAACCTCTCCAGCTTTACGGGCTTTCTCGTAAAGCCCTCACCAACGAAAGTAGCCTTGTTGACCATTCTCTTCCAGCTCTTGCTCTTGCTCTTTCCAGTCTTGATGACCTTGAACATTTCCTCTTCGGCAATACCCCTGACCTTGGGAAGAGGCACGCTGTACTTGGCGGCACGGTCCTTTCTGCGGTCCTTGACTGCTGAAGAAAGAGCTTTGGCGTCCTACACGATAGTCAGCATCGCCCAAAGAGGTTTGAAGCGCTCACCTTTTGACCATCCCTGTCCAACAAGAATGCAGGCAAAGCGCCCTCCTTGACAGCCCCATCGTCCTTTTGCTTCACATTCCTCTCGTCGTGCGCCTTCAAAGTCTTCTTCATCTGCACCTTCTCGGAGTGTCGGCGGGCGTGGAGAAGCTTGGCTCGGTGACCAAAGATCTTTTGAGCATCCTGAGAGTTCTTGTGTGCCTCACGGGCAGTCCTCTTACGCCTGAAGGATATCAGAAAGAGTCGTGCTATAAACGGACAACGTACTGGCGCTCCTCGTGATCCATACGACGACCATGTCGCTTACGGTGCTCTTCCATATACTCGTTCTGCGGCTAAATCCAGGGGTCAGTGGGTGGACACACAGTAGTTGCCAGAACCTACCATATTGCTTTGTCTTGGTGTATGTGGTAAAGAGAGCTTGAGCGGCAATGATGGAAGATGGGGCGCGCGCAAAATTTCTGGTTCCGTTCTTCTGTAACATTTAATTTTTTTTTTCGGCACTCCGCTATACAGTCAGTCGACAGCCACCATGGGACTCTCGGAACGGAAAGTAAAGCGTGAGTGTGCTCTTGAAATGTGGAACAGGACTGATGCGTGGAAAAGAGCGGATCGGGCTTGATCCTCGGAACCTCAATTGGTCCGAGAACAAGGACCGCTTCTCGTACAAGCACATGAAGGCGCTCGGATGGGAAGACAATACTGGTCTGGGCTCCTCCATGGTCGGCAATGCCAACAATATTGCTGTAGCGAGAAAGGACGACAATGGCGGTATCGGTATGGCTAGAGCGAGGAAGGAAGGGGGTGATATGGCTGCTGGTGCCGGGCAGGCTGGAGCAGGGTTGGAAGATGTGTTGAGGCGACTGGCAGGAGGCGCCAGCCCTTCCCCTGCACCTACTTCACCCAAGGTAGAGGAGGAGAGACCAAAGGTGATCCGGAACAAGATGGCGTGAGTCGTACTATG